AAAAACACTTTATAAGGAAAAGCTTATAATAAGTATTTGCATGACACTGGAGAGAGATAAAAGATAAATAATTGTTCTTTAGCTCAAGGAGTTTAAAAATTCATACTATCTTGTCTATGTCTCAAATATATACATGTAATTTTAAGCCTTTAAAAACTTTATTGAGGGGTGCCTGGGAGGCTCAGTCAGTTATGTCTGGCTCTGGTTTCGCTCAGGTCATGATCTCACCTAAGTTCATGGGTTCTTGGGTTGCCTGCATCGGGCTCATTACTGCCTGGGTGGAGCCTGCTTGTTCCCTCAAAATAAACTTAAAAATAAATGAGCCCCAAAAACCTTCAATATTAAGCTATGATTCACGTCTAAAATTTACTTTTAGACCAAAAGTTAAAATGAGAGATATTCATTTATTTTTATCTTTTAATAAAATTTTCAAAACATAAAAAAATTTGTAGATTAGCATGACAAACCCCCATATGTCACTCCAATTTTTTGTTTTAATTTTTATGTTTATTTATTTTTGAGAGGAGAGACAGGAGTATGAGTTGAGAGGGGGCAGAGAGAAAGGGAGACAGAACTGGGCATAGGCTCTGGATGTCAGCACAGAGCTCACGCGCGGAGCTCAAGCTCAGGGACCATGCAGATCATGACTCTGCCAAAGTCGGCCGCTTAACCAATCGAGCCACCCAGGTGCCCTCATCACCTGATTTAATAATACTGTCAAATTTGACAGTCTTATTTTATCTGATTTTACCCTCCAATAATAATTTTGGGAGCTTTCTCAGAATATAAAAAACAATTTTTTTTTTAACCATTTATTCATTTCCGAGAAAACATTTAGAGGAGTGGGGGAGGGGCGGAGATAAGAGGAGACACAGAATTTGAAGCAGGCTCCAGGCTCTGAGCTGTCAGCACAGAGCCTGGGACGCGAGGGACTTGAACTCATCAACTGTGTAATCATGACCTGAGCCAAAGCTGGATGCTCAACGATTGAGCCACCCAGGTGCCCCTGGGAGCTAGAATATTTGCAGCAACTGTAATATAAAAGAGTTCTACCCATAAAATCCTCAGTATTTTTCCTTTTCCTCATCATACCTAATTGGTAATATTTTTTTCTTCCAATATTTAGAAAATAAACTTTTAACACCCTTTAGGATCCAGATCAAAGTACACAAGTACAACGCCTGCAAGAAGTTATATAATTTTGAGTGTTTTGCATGGTAGAAAAGAGGCCATTTACCATTTTGGAAAGATTAAACAGAGAGACAATTTATTTGATTTAAAACCAGTATTCATGATAATCAAATTGTGGTACTGGGCGAATAGCTATTTGGTGCTCTGTGCTTTAAAAAAAAAAAAAAAAAAAAAAGTGGCTTTGGGTATGTGTTGATACAGAACAGTCATAAGACAGAGTAAATGAAACCAGTAAGGCAAAGAAGATTATGTACAGGAGAACTATTTTAAATTCTGGGTAATTCCAGTTAAGGAGAGCATCCGCATTTTGATTTCGTCATGATCCCAGGGTCACGGGACTGAGCCCACATAGCCATTGGCAGACTGAATATGAGCCTGCTTGGGATTCTGTCTCTGTCTCTCACCTCTGCCCTCTCTCCTGCTTTCTCTCTCAAATGAAAAAAGTAAAAGATTCTCTCTCTCTCCCTCCTCTGTCCTCTTCCCTAACTTATGCTAACAACAACAACAATAACAAATAAAGAAGAACCATTTTGTGGGTGTGCCTGGATGGCTCAGTCAGTTAAGAATCCAACTTTGGCTCAGGTCACCATCCTCACAGTTAGGACTGTAGAGCCCCCTACCTGGCTCCACACTGAGCAAGGAGCCTCCTTAAGATTCTCTCTCTCTCTCTCCTTTTTCTCCCTCTGTCCCTCCCCCCACTTTTATAGACAGGCATGCATGCACCCTTCCTCAAAATATTAAAAAAAAAAACATTTATGTAAATTTCTTTTAAATTGCAGATATACATACACTGAGTGGTGAATAAAGAATACATGTGTAAGTTGTAAAACCTTTGAATCATTTTTGTACCCTTATGTGTTTTAAGCTTTTTAACCATATGGTAGTCATGTATGTATTACTTCTTCTAAAACATCAAGAGTGGGATTGTGGGAACTCAGCATCCAAGATGGCCTCCTGGAAGGGATCCACCCTTC